AAGAGCAGGCCGGAGAAAAGAAAAGTACCCTGGCCCAGCTGCAGGAGCAACTAGTTCAGGAGCAACTAGCAACTAGGATAGGACTAACTCGAGGCAAAGATAAGGGAATTCGGCAGCGGACTGCTGAAAAAGCTTACAAAGAAGCTTGGGAGGCTACAACGCTAGATTACGTAACCTCACTTGGGTACTTTCTGACAGCAGAGAGAGAACTCGGTCTTTCCACAGAGAAGGGTATTCCTATTTCAGAAGAAATGAGAACTCAAGTCTACATACAGCTTGGTCATGCATATTGTGGTCTTGGTGCTCATTTGGAAGAAGCAGGCACAACGGCCGTTGCACCTCATGTATTAGAGAGCACTGATGATTCTTCTCCTGGTCGATTATCAGACATTAGTGCTTTTAGAGGGGCACGGGATTCGTACAAAATTCTCGGGGAAGTTGGTAAAGCTTTATATGCAATCACTTCCAAAAAGTTAGCGTCGTGTCACCATAAGTACTGCCTAGAGTTTTTGGAGAGTATGGACATTGAGAAAGCCAAGGAGCACGCTCTTTTGGCAGATGAGAATTATCAGAGGTCAGTGGATGGTGTAGGCCCTGAGAATAATCCCGCTGAGTTCCTGGAAATCCTGTTTGAGGATTCGGATATGTCCTTCCAGTTTAAAGAACAATCAAACTTTGTAAGTGCTCGATCCAGAGATATGAAAAATTGGCCATTCATGCATTTGCATGGTTCCCTATTTAATGTTCTGTTCTGTTTTAGTTTCAGATGCTGGAGTTGGATTTGTCTCGTTTTCTTGAAGGACGTCACATTTCGAAAGAAGATGAGAAAGAATTAAAAGAGGAGCTTCTCTTGAAATTTTGGGCCCGACTGAGAAATACTCTGAGGATTCTGCTGACTGAATACTCAAAGTCGTCAGCAGGAGGAGCAAACAAGTCTGGAACACTGAAAGAGATGTATTCAGCATCACTCAAGGCAACAAGCCTTAGTGACCTGAATGGGATGCATGCATTGTGGACAGCTCGATCTTAAGGACACTCCAGGTCCATGGTGTCCATATATTAGTCTTCCTTAGGTCTTTTACTTATTCGATATTGTGGTCACGTTTTTAACCTGAAGTTCGAAATATCTTCTACTTTGGTTTAATCTATTTCCTTGCAATTCTTTGGAATTTGTTTTCTCAACTTTTCTAGGCCTAAAATTATGTCCCTCCCAGCTCCCAGTAAATGATTTCCTCGACTGACAAAATGCTGTCGGGACAACAAAAACCAGTTTTACATATATAAATACTCTCCTCGTATTAAAAAGTAGAACACAAAGAGTAGTAATTCTTTAGCTATAAACGCATTATTTATTTATTCGTAAGAACACATTTCTCATAACACTATTAACCGATAATAATTCACTAAACTTTAGAATTTTTAACTAATGATTTGACCCAAAAAAAAAAGAACAACAATTATTTTTATCATCTATTGATAAAAAACTAGAAGATTAATTCTTTTTAATACAAAAACAAAACTTAAAACAATACTTCAGGTTGGTTTCCATTTATATACAGATTGGATGTTTCAAGAGATGTACGGCGGTGAACCGAACATAGGTACAAAAACTTCTGTTTTGCTCAACCAATCTTCTGTTTTTCCTAAGCAATAAATCGACTAACACTTAACGAACCAAGTCTAAGTCAAGAATGCAATTAAAGAGAAACCTTGTACAAAGCGTATCCTCTGATATTAATTTCTACTAGGTCTGGGGAACAAAGCTCACACCCGTACACTGTTTCAACTGGGTAATGGCATCTTGTGTCCTACCTAACATTAGATCGATGTAAACCGCAGTAACTGTAGCTTTTACGTTGTTCGGTAGGAGAGTTAATGCTTTCGTTACAAACTGTTTCGCCTGGTCATAATCTCCTTTTGTGGCAAGCAGCGCGGCAAAATCTGCAAAGAGTACTCCACGAGCTTCTTGGGGCTTAAGCAAAGCAGAATCCTGGGCATTTTCCGTGGACAGATCCCCTGTCTCGTCACAATCAGAACTTGTGTGCATCCGCCACTGGTCAAAGTCTTCTTGTGCATATGGCAGATCAAAATCATTCTCTCCAACTAGATAGCCAGATAAATGTTCGCCAGCTTCAGTGGGACGATTGAGCAAGCAGAGGGCCTCCGCTGCATAGACATGGCCTAAGAAAGCACTAATCTTTGAACAATCTCGAAGTTGCAAGAGTGAATTAGCAGCTGACAAGCCATTGATAGGATTATCCAGCTCCAATTCGACGTATGCCATATTGGCAAGAAGAGCCTGTTTGATCAATTGCTTTTCTCTACGACAACCATCCTTGAAAGCAGAGATCGATTTCTGAATTATATCCTGGTTGATATCTCCGTTTGCCTCTTCCAAGTCTGAGTTCGTCTCTTCCCCATGATTAGAGGATGATGCTTCTGTGGTCTCATTCATCCCCACGAATAATGTCGATTTAAGATCTGATTTAGAATCATTCGACAGAGACTCATTGAGCAGATATATACCATTTGAGAGATAGACACGTGCTAATGGTAATGAAAGTTTTGCCTCTTGGGAACTGCCAGCAAGTTCCTCATATTCATTTTCTTCCATCATAAGCTGTCTCCACTTTCCTTTCCCAGCTACATGGAGTCTGATTTTTGATCTACCTAGAGAAGTGTTTCCCTCTTTCAAAAGACCCTTTCGTAAAGCCATTATACAACATTCAGCTAAACGGAGCCAAATGAGGGGTTGTCTGCAGAAAACTGGGATCGCCTTCTGGAAACACTGAGCAGCAATTAGAGGCTTCCCCAACGCCAAATGAACTAAACCGCAGTTGTATGTGATCAACACAGATTTATCCTGTGAGAGAGAAAACGTCTTTACTCTTTTCTCATTTCTAAGGGATGAACAACTCCTTAGAGCTTTTGATAATAACACAGCAGAAGCTTGATACTTTCCAAGCTGATAGTATATGCAACCAAGGTTGTTCTTGAAGATTCCTGAAGTCTCTGCTTCTTTTTGAATATCGGAGACATCCAAAAGCTCTAAAACCTTTTGATGATTCTCATGAGCATACTCAAGCTGGGATTTCAAGAGGAGAGCCATAGAAGAGTCCCTTATTCCAGCAATGTTCAATGCATGTTTAACTTCACGCTTCGCCAGACTCAAGTTTCTGGTAAGAAGCAAAAACCGGACCTTGTAGAGCTGCAACTCAAGCTTGGGATCAACGGTAGAGAACGACCTTTCACCTAATATGGTGAGAAGATTTTTTGTCGGAATATGGCCAACTGGCTTCATTCGTTTCTTCACCACAATTTCTGAGTCATACTCTAGATTTTCACTTTCAGCGGCTGTTAAACCGGACGTCAAAGTATCGTAGGCCACCGAGCTGCTCAGGGAAGAAGATGTCGTTGATACCTGATTTGAAGAAAGTTGCATCGAGCTTCCGTTTTCTTCTTGACTTCCGAAACCAACACCAAAACCAAAAACTTTGTCCACATAGTCAAACACATCCTGTAAATCATACTTGTTAAGATACAGAGAGAAGGAAACGTCTATGGAGAGACCTCCATGAAATGAGAATATCAACTAAAAAATGCAAAAATAGAAAAAATGATTCAAGGAGAATTTAAGTGAAAATCCTACTCGAATTTGGACACTAGCTGGTTTTCAAGTTCGCATGGCAGGTTATGCATATAACATATTTGTTCTTCATGACAAGTATAGAATCTTGCAGGCATGTTTAAAGTTCAGAGACAAAGGCACCGAAAAAAATTAGATTTCATGTGCATAAACTTTACAAAACAGCCCGTAGATATTGGTTGATTTTTTCGCTAGCAAAAGAGATCAGTTGGACTACATATCAAGACTTTGAGACCAGTACAAACAATACTTACCAAAAATTTAACAGCATCACGACAAGCCAGTGCAATATCCAGCAACAAGAAGCAGATACGAAGTACGGTTGTCTGCATATAAATATCAAGTGCCTATTTAGAACCAGTAGGACAAATTAAACAAAGCACCACAAAAAGATGGATACATACCTCGTCTAGTGGCTCAATATTTTGAAACAAAGGTTGTAGAATGGATAAAGATTTCGTATACTGATGGAGATGAAACCAGGTAACTGCCTGCAGGAGACCAGTGAACATCTATTAACCTTGGCAAATGGGAATGGCCTAGCCGAGACTAAGAAAAAAACATGGGGATACATCAGAACATACAATGTTGAGAATCGTTACTGTACTATCAAGTTGATCCTCTGACACATAGAGGTTAGTTTCAGGGTTCGCCTCTTCCACTAGTTCTTTTGTTGAAGAAGCAAGCTCTTCACTCTGGTTCTGAAGAAATAGAAGAGAAAAAGAAACCATATCATAGAGATTAACATAAACACTACTAATAATAACATTACTTTCTCCCGTATGTTTTCCCTCTACAATTTCCTAGTACAGTTCAGAGTTAATAAGATACAAGATAAAAAAAAAAAAAAAAAACACATCGGAAGAAGATAACAGGAACCCCAATTTGAGATCATCTCCCAAGAAGAAGAAGATTTGAGATGAAATAGATAGATGATCTTGCAGATGAACTGCGACAACACTTAAAATTTGAGAGAGTAAACGGAACCAAAGTAGAAGGTTCAACACAATACCTTGACACGGTTAAGCTCTTCCAGCAGTTCCTTTGAATCCGAGCAACCATCCTTGAAGTACTTTGCAATTGCCATATTGTGTAGAACCTGTTTGATCATTGAAAACAATACATAAACCATTTTCTTGAAAGAAATCAGGAAAGTCAAATGATATACTACTGCATGATAGCAGTGATATAAACATTCGAACTTATAAAAGTGGAAGTAGTTATAAATCTACTCAGAGTGTTCATCCACAGATGAAATAGACCAAAAGCCCTTGTTCTTTCTTACGATTCAGGGCTAAGTAATCAGAGGTATCCAAATCATTCAAAAGCGAAGGAGCTGATCTGCATATCTGATGGATACAAAGCTAAAAAGAGTCAATCTCTTACTTTCACAGTTGAGTAAACTACTTGAGAAGAATAGAATATAACAGAAACCTCAATACTGATACATCAAGTCATATCTAACCCTAGTAAATTGTACATAAATTCAAACTTAACTCTTTTTCTTAGTATCGATCTAAACATGAAAGAATCAAAACTTGCAGAATTAGAAAGCAAAATCAAAACTAGGGTTTCGGGTTTGGGGAACTATTATATCCGAAAAAAAAAAAAAAATCACCTGGAGATCGTTAGGCCTCTTCTGATCGAGCTGAACTAAAATACCGATACACTCTTCGAATTCTCCAGAATGGAAACAAGAAAGAGCGCTCTTAGCGAGTGCTGTGTGAGAGAGAACGTCCGCGTCTTCGGAGTGTGAAGACGTATCTCTAGCGGCGTCGGATGTTACAGCTGACGACGAATCTCCAGAATCCATGGAAGATCGACCAAATTGTTCACCCACGTTTTGGATTTTCTGAATCCTTGAGCTCGAAGCAAAGAAAATTTTGTGGAATTGAGGAAAGCGACCAGATACACTTTTCAGTCACAGTCTTCTCAACTCTATTCACTAGTTCCTCAGTGACATTATATATGTAAAAATGGGTATTAAGCCCCCAAATCTGAACGGATCTTGTATATATCTATAATTTGTTGGGCCCAAACCCAACTCGCATTCTCTGCTTTATAATAATAATAATAATAATAATAATAATAATAATAATAATAATAATAATAATAATAATATATCTTATGCTTATCAAAACATACTTAAATTAATTTCTAATCCTTTGGTCGAAAAAAAAAATAAAAAAATCCTAATATTCCTTTTCATATGTAAATATATCTCGTTGTTACTACCAGAGAAAAACTTTTAAATACCATCTCTTTTTTTTTTGGGTAAGGGTTTAAATAGCATCTCTATTTCTTTTCCCAAATCAGCATACACTATTAAAATATTCTAAAAGTAGCATTACTAAATTAATATTATTATTAGAAAAATTCTAATAAATGGAAATAAATTGACTTTTTTGTTGTTGTTTTGAGTTCGTCTCTTTACTTAACCTCACACGAAAAATCTAATGCGCAGATTACCCTAATTCTCTTTCTCGTTTTCAATTAATTTTTCTCTTTTATTAATGTGAATTTGATCAAATTTCCCAAAATTATGTTTCGAGGTTGAATTAGAGTAGAGGCTAACAAAGCAAAACCGTCGGCGGCAGTACTGCTGGATACAAAACCGTCATGCCAATATTACATAGGTTCCGTCAGCGATGACGCTGGTCAACACTGCGTTGAAAGAGCTTGAGAGAGATAGGAACAAGATACAGAACATTAAGCATGACATGTGTTAATGTGATTGAGATCACTAGGATCATGAGGCTTAGATCTAATGCTAGGGAATTGAGTGGTACAATGAGATAAATCTTCAGTACTTGTGTTTATGTCGGGTAATTGTCGATGGTAGAGATCTAAAAGATATTTAACAGTTTCTCAGACTATCCCACTACATAAAGGCACCTCCAAAAAAAAGTTGTTAGCGAGGTTCATAAGTTTATTGCGGACAAAAAATAAATCAGTAGCCACTGGTAACTCAGTGTTTAGGGATACTTAAAAGACACATGGCAATTATTCATTGGTAAAAAATATATTCATCTCTTTGCCTCTCTATAATTCTTTCTCTCTCTACCATTTTTATTTAATCAATATGCAAGTTTACTAACGGAGGTCTCTCTACAATTCTTTTTCTCTCTAGCATTTTTATTTAATCAATATGCAAGTTTACTAACGGAGGTGGTCTTAGCAAATGATACCAGTTGAAAATAAATTTCATAAAAATTGTTTGTTAGTCAAAGTTTTTTTTGTCGGCCTTCCCCTTTGTCTCGATTATCATTTTCATTATAGTGAAGACAAAAAAAAAACTTTCAATTACTCTGTTATAGTTCTATCAATATAACCGGCCACATCAAATTTTCTCAATGAAAGCAGCTAATTTTGCGTGAGTGATAAAAAGTACATTTGCCAAAAGGCACAATACTCGACGATGGTTTTTGGTTCAGCCGTTGAAGACTCATGTACATATTAGACCATCCTTATTGCTAATATCTTAGGGGGTAAGATACCCTAAGATACTAGCAATAAGGATGCCCTTACTAAACATTGACCAAAACAAGAATAACACAAATCAATCAAAGACTCCAATTGTGCTTAATCTTTTTACCATAGACTTTGGAGGAGTTAGAGGGACGTTTTTCAAATAGCTTAGACAGCCATTCTCGAACTGTTTCATCTTCTCCTTCGCCTTGGTGAAGAAAGGGGACTTCTCGGGAGAAGACAAAGATGTCTCCCACCTCCCAACCTATACAAAAAAAAAAAAAAGAGGTTACCAGAGGGTAAATCAGACTTATTTCAAAACCAGAGGTAAATAAGACTTATTTCAAAACATCAGACTTACAAATGAAAGAACATCATCTGGTGTTATCTTCTTGTCTTGAATGTGACACTCTTGGAGGGAGTCAAAGAGATATGTCGTCAAACCAGTAGCCACTGGTGACTCAAATTCCTGAAGCAGTGGACAGTCCTCATGCGCAATTAGCTGTTTCTCCTGAAAAGATAACATATCAATCAGATATATAACGTGTACTTAGATGGCATAAAATATATACGAATAATCAGATGCTCAACAATTTACCATTTCTGCGATAAAGTTCTTTTCATACTCGGCCAATCTCTTAGATGCCACAAGAAGATAGGGCTTCTTCTCCTACTTAGAATATTAAAGCCTTAGAAACAAGGTTCTTCTAAGTAAAGGATAAAGGATCAAGTCAAGCTAAACTTAGAACTGCTTACCATCTCAGGTAAGGATTGCCACTTTACAAGTATTGCGTCAATCTGTTATCAGACAGAAAAAGCAGAAAGATGATGTTTAGAGGGGGGAAATATGAGAACTCTATAAGAAGCAGAGTCTGTGTAAAAATCAAAGAGCAAAAAGTGTAAAAATCCAAGAAAAAAATATCAAAATAACAGACGAATGATGTTTATGGGAAAGTATGCACACTTACCACGGCAACGTAGTTGGAATCAGAAGAATGAGGGAATTGGTTTGCAAGAAAAATCAGCAGCGGAGTTAGAGCCGACTTTTCTGAATCGGCATCATATTCTTCATCAGTTTCCTCCGCAGGTTCCTGTGGCCATTCGACCTAGAAATCACAATTTGAGACTCAAATACTTATCCATATTCAAACAGACACTTAATTTACTCTCAAACAATCTAAATTACCAGATCTTGGCGGGTGTTTACATGGTACATCACAGAATTGCTAAAGTAACGGAGCCTTGTCTGCACAAATGTTAAACCCATATGAAGTAATACTTCAGATCAAAACACAAACCAGATTACTGAAGTGTTACAGAGTATATATAACATACATATAGTGACAAAGAATCCCATCCATCTTTAGCAGCTTTTAGAGCCTGTCTCAACAGATCAAAAACACTCACATCAAGATAACAACACCAGATCCAGCTCTTTCTTTTAAAAGACTCACATCAAGATAACAACACCAGATCCTCACAATCTAATGACAACATGTGAGTTCCCAAATATAACATGATATAACGGTACCAAAGCAAGAACTAAAGGTTCAAGAACTCACATCGTTCATTTTTTGGTTCTCGGCGTGATTATTCTTGATGTAGTCCTCCATGAATATGAAAAAAGCACTGGGTATCTTTAAGAGCCTATCATAACAAAACAAAAACGAGTAAGGGAAAACTGGAGAAGAGATCTATAATCGTAACATTTAAACTGGAAGAAAGAGGTCGAAGCTGAGGCTTACTCTGAGCTCCTGGTTTCAGCGTTTGAACCACTTCTTGCTTCTCCATCCATTTCCATGATCGATTGTGCAGGAAAATTAGCTTCTCCTCCTTCCGCTTCCATGATCGATTTGTGTCGCTAGAGAGAGAGAAAAGCAGAGATACGTAGAAGAAGTTTATCAGCAGAGTTATCAAAATCGAAGAAAAAGTAAAATCAGCAAGGAAAAAAAAAAGAGAGAGGAAATCACCTTAGACGAAGATCCTAGGGTTTTGAAAATGGAGAGACAGAAGCAGAGTGAGAAGAGAGATTGTGATTTATACACCCTTGCGAAAGAGCAGAGGAAAAGGATTTTTTTTATGAAGGGTTTTTTTAGGCGGGATCTCAAACATCATATAATGCCACGTCATCATAGAGTGCGTCCTGTTTTGCAGACAGAGGTCTGCCGTAGGAGAGACACCACAAATCCGGTCTCACTTGCTTATACTACGCCGGAAACTCTCTCCAAACCCCAACTGCTTCTCAACGGCTCTGGTCTGCTCCGCCTTTGCTTCTAACATTCCGATCTGCTCACTGCCGGAACCTCCTTCTTTATCTCTCCCCTCCGGCCGTTAGCATTTCTACCCCGGCCGTGCTTCTCTTTTACTCCTCCGGTGGATCTCAATCGCTTCTCTCATCCGCCCCCAAGGGTCACTCTCTCGCGGCCATTCTTCTTCTTCCGACAAGCTCGACGCTTTCGCGTTTGCAATGGACGCGACTAAAGGATGTAGATCTCCCTTCCTCTTTAACCCCGAAGACATGCTCTCTCTCTCTCTCTCTCTCTCAGTCGGCGGCTTGCTATCAAGTTAATACATGCTCTTCTTCCTCTTCCGATTAATTCAATCCCTTTCTCATTACCAACGTACCCGACGCAAACAGCAGCCGCGAAACGGAGGCGGACCGTGACAGTAAAGGTGGTGATCGTCTCTCTTTCTCTATGTATCTTACACATACTTGCTCTCTTAACGTGAGCGGCGGCTTTTGCTCTCAGGTTAATTAGGACACCAATACGCCTATTAGCTTAGGTTTTAGCTTTACAGGGCATCTTTTGGGCTTCAATTTAAGTTCAGACTGGCCCATTCTCTGAACCTGGGTCTTTTGGGCTTCAATTTAGGATATTTAGTAGATTATAAATAATTAGGAATTTAATATGAAATTATATATTCCATTAAAAATTAGAATTCTTAAATTAGGGTTTATGATTTGAAATTATTAAAAATTAAAAATATGCGCCAAAACGTTTTAGTTTGTAAGTTAAATTAATAATGATTTTATTTCATTGTAAATGTAAAATTATTCTATTTATTGATTGAATTTATCAAAAACATTGATAATTTGAAATTTGAAATATTTTATATGACATAAATAACGTATTTATAGGGGTGAATATATTTTGAATGATTTTGGTAATTTATTAGTAACGAAATAGTGATTTTAAAGTTATTTACGAAATTTAAAATTTTAAAATTTCCAAAATTAATTTAAACTGTAGGCAGATTTTTTAAATATTTAACAACTAGGTTTTAACCCGCGGTGTACCGCGGAACGATTGTTTTGACTAAATAATATATATATATATATATATATATATATATATATATTTAACTTATATTTGTTAATTTTATTACCTTTTTAGTGTTTAAAGATTCTGTAGTTGTATTTTTGATTGTTATTTTTATTACTTAACTCGCGGGATATTTTTTGTAACTGGCGGGACTAAAAAAATTATGTTTAAGTTATATTTGTTATTTTTTTTGTTATGTTAACCCGTAAGATAACCCGTAAGAAAAACATAAAACTCAAACCCGTTAAATCATATTTATGTAAAATATAAACCTTGAATGTTTTATAGATTTCGAAAGAGATTTTGGTTTTTGTTTTTCAAAAACTCATTTTTAACCAATCAAGATTTTAAAATTTTATGGTTTTAAAATTTTGGATTCTCTAAAATTTAGTAAAACTTTTTTTGTTGTAATCTTTCATTCAAGATTTTGGATTTTTAAGTTTCATATTAGTCATATTTATAATGGTTCCGAACCATTGTTTAAAATTTTCTACCCGATGTGGAACGTTATACATATATGTTTTTTCTTTTATCGATTGAGTAGTATACGTCCGTTTAAAAAAATTCAAATTGCTACATATGCGAAAAAAAATTTGTATTTTTATTATACTTATGCTTTATGTAATAATTTAAATTTTAAAACAAATAAGATCATATAAAAATATTGGAGAGATATTCAATTTATTAGGGAGACATTTTAGGAAATTTTGTTAAATGTAATAAATATTAGTTTCTAATTTTGAGATTCTGGTGTAATTTAATTACAAATTTTATCTTAAAAGTTTGTTATTTATTTAAATGGCAAAGATTTATTATACAATAATATAAAGTAAAAAGTTGTCAAAAAAAAAAAAATTAAAGTAAAAGGTTATTTTCTAAAAGTACTTCAAAAATGTTAATATAGATGATAAAAGATTTAAGCAATATTTTTTTGAGGAACTCTTCGGTTTTGTTTTTTGTTTTTTTAAACTCTATTAATTATATGGGATTTTAGGAGGCAAAAAAAAAAGAAAAAAAAAAAGGTCACCGCAAAATCTTAAAAGCCCATAATTTTGTATTATGGCCCAAATATCGCAGCCAAGATATCGCAAAGTCAGTTCATATAAAGAGAACATTGATTTTGTTTAGGACGAAGAACAGAGAAGGAAGAACGATGCGACCTACCTGCGTCGGACAGATGAAGATCGCCGCTCCGGTCGGCGGCGAGGACAGGGAGCGAGCAGGTATGTCATTATTCTCCTCAAGCATCTGGGTTTACTGGAGTTGTTAGGGTTTTCTCTGCTAACTAATTTGGTAAAGGTGACTTGACAGAGGAATCTCTTTCTGAGATTGATGTGATTGCACCTATTAAGATTCTTCAGCAAATATTGAAGACACCTCACTCGAAATCTCGGGTCTCAATAGCTGTTCAGCGATCTGGATATACTGTTGTCTTAAATCCCGGGTGCGTATTACTCAAGGTTATGCAAATTTTTCAATGAGAATAGTTTAGTTTATACTAATTACTAATTATCCTGGCAGGCCTGGTGTTCAAGAGAGTGAGAAACTCATTGGGAAACGTAAGAATGTATTGGGCGTTAGCTTTCAGAACTACGCTGAGGCAAGCTTAGGCTTGTCACCTGTTCGCCAACAGGTTACTTCTAAACCCTAAACCCTAAGTGGTTCTGCTTCTTTTCAGTTGACTCTCTGTTAACCCTTGTCTTTTGACACAGGTTTCAACATTATCGTGGCTTAAAGCTTGGCTTGATAATGTAATGGCCAGTGTACCCGAGCTAGCAATTTGCAACCATTTGAACGGTGTTGTCCAAGGGTATGAGCTTCTACCAGATGGAATCTCTGGGGTCGTTGACCCTAATGTTGTTCAGCAAAACTGCCTTGCAGTTCTACGGTTTCTTCAATCAAATTGCAAAGAGGATCCTGGTGTTTACTGGGTAACGTTATAATTCTATGCCAAACTGCTACTATCTTTTGTTGGCATTATCACAAAAGTTGACTGTTGATTTTATTATGTTCTCCTTAGCTCTACAAAGCCGCTGGTGAAGATGTTATTCAACTCTTTGATCTTTCCACTATTTCAAAGAACCATTCCTCAAGCGCAAGCTCATTCCCACTGGTAATTATATTGGTCTTTTCTACAAGAGTTTCCCTTTTTAATACTAATAAAAAGCTGTTTTAAATCGTTATGTTTACTAATTATAATTAGTGATATCATTCTGGATAGGTTGTTCGAGCATGTGCACACGAGCAATTTGCAAGGTTCATTTTGAATAATGAAGAGGAGTTTGATTTAACTGCTGAGGCTAATAATGTGCAACGTAAATTCAAAGTAGCAGACTTAGAGGAGGAATCACTTGATCGTGTTATGAACTCAACTTCAGGTTCTAGTCACGGCATTGGTCCTGATCGTGCGCCTTTGACTACAGCCATTTCAGTTTCATTGCAACGAGCAGCTGTTCACCATGTTATTCAGGCTATTAAGTCTCTCATGGTGACGCGACAACTAATTTCTTCAGAAGAAGAAGTTGAGTGGCTTCCAACATCATCACTAGACAGGAAATTGTGGAGTCTCGTTATGCTTCTTGGTGAATCATATCTTTCTCTGGGGGAAGCTTACCTAGAGGATGGACAGTTGCCCCAAGCTCTGAATATTGTTGAGCTAGCTTGCTCCATTTTTGGATCAATGCCTTACAAGTTTGAGGAGAGATTGTTTGCATCTGCCTTGTACACGTCTTTTTCACGGCTAACAACATTTAAAACGCCAGGCCTTTCAACAACGCAAGGGGAGTTGGTGAACGAGCCAGTCCTTTCAACAACTCAAGAATTTACAAGTTTCAGGGAAGTTTCATCAGTACGTATCTTTTGGGCTACGGTATGGTTAATTGTTGGTGAGATTCATGTGAGCTTGTTTGAAAACAAGCTCAAGAAGAAGTACATACCTGAGGGGTCTGAAGTAGCAAAGAAAGAAGAAATGCCGTCTGAGATTGTAGAAGAAGTGGAGAAGCTCAAGAAGAAGTTAACGGCACATAGTAAAAAATGTAACTTATGTTTGTTAGTAAATTGCACTTGTGGCTCTCAGAGCAAGAAGAGCAGGGGCAGAGGTAAACCTGGTAGCAGTGGAATATTTAAATTTCTCACCACGTCTAGGAAGGATGATCCAGAAAGCCACCTGTTGGCTGCATTAGAGTGTTACCAACAAACTCAAAGAGCATTATTTCCAAGCGACGGCAAGGACTTACAATCCCTTAGCAAAAAGAAAGCGTTGGTATGGAATGAAATTGGTCAATATCTTAATGACATCAAGAAATATGCGGAAGCAGAGAAGGCAATGACTAATTCTATTGAGGGATTTAAGGAGATTGGCGAGTATGAGGGAGTTATATGTACCATCGTAAACCTTGGTTTTATCCGACAAGAGCAGGCCGGAGAAAAGAAAAGTACCCTGGCCCAGCTGCAGGAGCAACTAGTTCAGGAGCAACTAGCAACTAGGATAGGACTAACTCGAGGCAAAGATAAGGGAATTCGGCAGCGGACTGCTGAAAAAGCTTACAAAGAAGCTTTGGAGGCTACAACGCTAGATTACGTAACCTCACTTGGGTACTTTCTGACAGCAGAGAGAGAACTCGGTCTTTCCACAGAGAAGGGTATTCCTATTTCAGAAGAAATGAGAACTCAAGTCTACATACAGCTTGGTCATGCATATCGGATTCTTGGTGTTCATTTGGAAGCAGCAGGCACAACCGCCGTTGCACCTCATGTATTAGAGAGCAATTCTTACAGCAGTTATGATTCTTCTCCTGGTCGATTATCAGACATTAGTGCTTTTAGAGGGGCACGGGATTCGTTCAAAATTCTCGGGGAAGTTGGTAAAGCTTTATATGCAAGCACTTCCAAAGAGTTAGCGTCGTGTCACCATAAGTACTGCCTAGAGTTTTTGGAGAGTATGGACATTGAGAAAGCCAAGGAGCACGCTCTTTTGGCAGATGAGAATTATCAGAGGTCAGTGGATGGTGTAGGCCCTGAGAATAATCCCGCTGAGTTCCTGGAAATCCTGTTTGAGGATTCGGATATGTCCTTCCAGTTTAAAGAACAATCAAACTTTGTAAGTGCTCGATCCAGAGATATGAAAAATTGGCCATTCATGCATTTGCATGGTTCCCTATTTAATGTTCTGTTCTGTTTTAGTTTCAGATGCTGGAGTTGGATTTGTCTCGTTTTCTTGAAGGACGTCACATTTCGAAAGAAGATGAGAAAGAATTAAAAGAGGAGCTTCTCTTGAAATTTTGGGCCCGACTGAGAAATACTCTGAGGATTCTGCTGACTGAATACTCAAAGTCGTCAGCAGGAGGAGCAAACAAGTCTGGAACACTGAAAGAGATGTATTCAGCATCACTCAAGGCAACAAGCCTTAGTGACCTGAATGGGATGCATGCATTGTGGACAGCTCGATCTTAAGGACACTCCAGGTCCATGGTGTCCATATATTAGTCTTCCTTAGGTCTTTTACTTATTCGATATTGTGGTCACGTTTTTAACCTGAAGTTCGAAATATCTTCTACTTTGGTTTAATCTATTTCCTTGCAATTCTTTGGAATTTGTTTTCTCAACTTTCTAGGCCTAAAATTATGTCCCTCCCAGCTCCCAGTAAATGATTTCCTCGACTGACAAAATGCTGTCGGGACAACAAAATGCTGTCGGGACAACAAAATGCTGTCGGGACAACAAAATGATGTCTCTGGGTCGTTACCAACCCTAGTCAGCTATTGGACAGCTCGATCTTAAGGACACTCCAGATCCATGGTGTCTTCTTTTGTGTCATATACATGAAGGCCCGCCCGTTAATAGAACCGCTTTAGAGAGAAACCCAAAAAAAAAAAAAAAAGGATGAAAAAAATGAGAGAGTAAAAGGCCGCAAAGGAGACACGGTCAGTGACGAAAACGTGGCCGTGTAAGCAACGAGTTGAAAAGAAAAGGGATACCGCGTCCGTGCGTCGCATAGTCCAACAAGTGCCACCTCCACTCCAAACCTTCTTTTATTTGTTTTGCAAAACGTGGTGTTTTTTTTTTGTTATCAGTTCTTTTGTTTTCTCTTTCTTCTTTCATTCATCCATCAGTCATTCAATCAAACATGAGAAGAAAGTATAATATAGTATCATTATCTTGCATCATGCTTTTTTAGTACCCCCAACGTCGATTGTAGGGCAAAGATCTTTTGGAAACAAGTGTGAGACAAAGACACGACTATAACATAAATTAAAGAGATGTGGGAAATTTCTTAGTAAAGAAGAAAAGATGGCGCGCGGCATCATAACTGGAGCAGTATAATATTTTAAGAACCAGTTGGTTTCCTTGTTATTTTTCGAAGTTTTGGAAGCACATGTTTCTTTTGCTTACACATGTCGTCTTCTTCACATGACGTGTGTGCCTTTCTTATCTTAGCTACATGTGTTGGTCTCCTTTTCAGATACTTCTCTTTTTCTTAGGTAAAAATTGAGATGCGATCCTGACATAATATTTCCTGAACTAATAAATAAAATCTCCAACTGGAACTGGTTTATAAATTTAATTTAATTTACAGTATATGATGACGACGCTAAGACACTCTGATAACACACTTCACTCCGACAAAGACAAAAGACACAAAACTCCAGTTTGCCCCGCCGACACCATCGCTGATGAACCGACATATAAAGATTTTTCTTGGTCAAGCAAGCCCAACTGCCCAACGAAGAAGGAAGTCGTGGTATATAAATATCATAATTGTACACACACACACACAGTACAAGCACCTCTCTCACTCCACTCTTGCTTTAGTGACTACTTCAAATATATAGAAGAAGAACTCTGAAGGATAACATGTCAAATACTAGCAGCTCTCATCATAGCTTCACAAGCTTCGCTACTGGTTGGTTAACCCGTCACAGGTATTTCGTCGAACAGCTTACGTGCGCTTCTTCATCTTCTTCCTCCGACGTCACTCTCGAAGAACAACAATCTCTTGTGACCCAGTTCTTATCTCACTGTCTTCAATACTACCAAGAGAAATACGCCGCCGTCTCCATCGCCGGAGACAACGTATTCACTTTCTTCTGCCCGCCGTGGTTCAGCTCCTATGCTAAACTCATTCTCTGGGTCGGCGACTTTAAGCCTTCTTTGATCTTCAAACTCACCGACGCCTCCGTCGACGACCTCACGAGCCACCAGCAGGACCGGATCTCGAGTCTCCGGTCTGATACTAGGAGGAAAGAGAGAGAAGTGATGAGAGATTTCGCGCTCGTGCAGCAGAGCGTGGCGGATCCGCCGGTGATGCTCGCGGCGAGGCGAGTCGGGGCAGTGGGAATGGTAGACGGAGAAGAGTCTGATTTGGAGGAGGCGATGGAGGTGCTCAAATCCGGGATGGCGGCGGCGATGAACAACGCAGATCAGCTACGGTGTTCAACGGTGGGGAAAGTGGTGGAGATTCTTACTCCGTCGCAGGCGATAAAGGTGTTGAGGACAATCGGAGAGCTTCACCTCCGTCTCAGAGAATTGAATTTGGAGAGTGACCACGAAAGAGCTTGATAACAACCGTTTTAATTTGCTTCTTCGAACAACAATGGAGTCACGAATTTTTTTTTGGGTTTGGAAACATCCACTTAAGCCTGATTGATATATTTAGATTTCCTTTTTGTTGATTTTCATCTTAAAGAAAAACATTTGAAAAAAATTGGGCATTTTTGTTTCTAGTGGTTTATATCCTTATGATTAATGATGTAATGTTTTTTTTTCTAAACAAATATTTGTTTGGCTTTGTTTGTTCCTTAGCCCCTAATCTCATTCTCTCGTCACACACCACTACTCATCAGTTACGTTATAAGCCACACTAGCTAGTTACAATCGTCAAAACAAGTAGCTAGTAGCTTTCAAAATCATACGTAACTTATGATGTGGTGGCCATGTCATCTACACATGGTAATTAACTTTTGTTTTGTTTGATGATCCGATCAATGTCTGTGTTTATTCTTCTTCCACTCTAGTATCTTGTTATGTTGATAAACTGATCACGAAAGCGAAGTATCAAACTCTAAAGGCATTTGATCTTCTTTTGTTGTGCTGAATTAGTTGTCCCTTACTGACTTGTGACTATTGGGGTTCTCATGCTCGCATTTGCGTCTTTTATCATGTCCATGAAAAGGAACTAGAATCTACGTCAGCTTCCCGATACGCTATAGATTATAACTAAATTGGCTTGAACAAATCCTGCTAAACTGGACGTTGTTGAAGGTTTAAAACACTTTTTTTTTTATCCCAAACCAAACTAAAATGACTGACATTCGAATATCTTGATTTTGAATAGTATCTGATTGATATTAAGTCCACGAGTTCAATTTTCTGCTTCTGCAAATTGAATACAACAACAAATAAGCCAACTATTTCAAAGGGATGTAATTTATGTTTCTTGGCTACCTTTTGTCAACGTGTTAGGCCATGGCGTTGACTTTAGATGGCTTCCTAGTGCCACCAGCTAAAGAACATATAGTCAGCTTTGATGGGCTTTTTTTAAAAAGGCCTATATATGAAAATAAAGAAAACAATGCATGTTTTTGTCAATACAAATCAAGAACAGAACAATTATGCAGACAAATTTCCATTGACTACACTTTTCTTTACTACGTTACGTTAAGTTAAAATGCATCAAGTAACTCAAAACGTTAAGATTAATAAACAAATACTTGTTGGTTGTTGCCTCATTTTCTTCTTGTGTAGTCAATAGTCACCACCGGCCGAGTTAATACACACGTTTACACCCTTGAATTGACCCGTTCTTAAACACACCCGCATAACCCGACCCGGATCCACCTGCTCCTTTCAAGTTGTCAACTAACACACGCGCTGCTCCTTTGATCCTAAACCATTTTCTCATCTTTTTTTCTTCCTCAACTTCAATCACAGCATTATATCTCCCTCTTTGTCTTCTCGATTCCTACCTAATCTCTCTAGGGTTTGGGTTTCTGGACGACGAAGGGGGGTGTTTTTCTCTGAATTTGAGATATTGAGATTGCTTGTTTTGTAAACTCGGAAATCTATGGCGGTTTCTAGCGCCTTTGCGGTTACCCCGAAGCTGGAGAATTTGTTATCGAATCAACTCAATCCGTCTTCTTCTTCTTCTTCTTCTCCGGCGCCGTTGGGTGTAATTGGGATTCGTGCTCTTCCGATTAACAATAGGACAAGGCGAGGTCTGATCCAGAGAGCGCGTTGCGAGATTTCCACGTCTAAATCAGCCAGTGTCTCCGCTCTGGAACAGCTCAAGACTTCTGCTATTGACAGTACGTTTCCCTGTTCGAATTCCAATTTTGGGTCTTCTATTTTGTTCTGCATCATGTGAAATTGCATTTGAATTTCATGATCGGTGCTTGACTGCTTCTTTGGTTGCTAATTTTAAATTTTGATGGGATTTGTAAAGCTTTTCAAAATTTTGCCGCTTGGATTTAAATACTGTTTACTCCAAAGATGTATATTAAAGCAATCTTCTTTACGATATTTTTATCTCCTCCTGGCTGATCTCTTTCATTCCTGAGCTGTAGTATTTTGTTGCATATGATTATTCTGGATTTTGATTTCTGGAAGATATATATTGTATACTTCTTTAAGCTAAAGGGTCTTTTTTACTGAACTCCCAACTATTTCATGGTTACAGGATACACAAAGGAAAGAAGCAGCATTATGGTGATTGGGCTTAGCATTCACACAGCTCCTGTTGAGATGCGTGAAAAGCTTGCTATACCAGAAGCTGAATGGCCACGAGCTATTGCCGAATTGTGCAATTTGAATCATATCGAAGAAGCTGCTGTTCTCAGTACCTGCAACCGAATGGAGATTTATGTCTTGGCTCTCTCTCAACATCGTGGAGTCAAAGAAGTGACTGAGTGGATGTCTAAGGTCTTTCCCTTTCCCATGCTTAATCTCTGTCACCAACAATGCACTTCTCATTATCTGTGACAACAACTTCATCTGATAACTCTCTTTGATATGCTTTTATCACCATACTACAATCAATTTCAAATGCTGATATATGTTATTTTATTGCCAGACAAGTGGAATCCCAGTTTCGGAGATCTGTCAGCACCGTTTTCTATTGTACAACCAGGACGTCACACAACATATATTCGAAGTCTCAGCTGGTTTGGACTCCCTTGTCCTAGGAGAAGGTCAGATACTTGCACAGGTTAAACAAGTTGTTAAATCAGGTCAAGGAGTCCATGGTTTTGGAAGGAACATCAGTGGGCTATTTAAACACGCAATCACGGTTGGAAAGCGAGTCAGAACAGAGACAAATATCGCTGCTGGGGCTGTTTCCGTTAGCTCTGCTGCAGTTGAACTTGCTCTCATGAAGCTTCCAGAATCTTCACATGCATCATCTGCTAGGATGTTGGTAATTGGTGCTGGAAAGATGGGGAAGCTTGTAATTAAGCACTTGGTTGCTAAAGGTTGCACCAAAATGGTGGTTGTGAACCGAAGCGAAGAGAAAGTTGCAGCTATCCGCGAGGAGATGCCGCCTGGTGTTGAGATTATTTATAAACCCCTTGATGAGATGCTATCTTGTGCTGGAGAAGCCGATGTAGTCTTTACTAGCACAGCATCTGAGACACCATTGTTCTTAAAGGAGCAAGTAGAGACTCTCCCTCCTGTTAGAGATGGGAGGCTTTTTGTTGATATCTCTGTTCCTAGAAATGTCGGGTCTTGTGTCGCTGAAATAGATGGTGCACGGGTTTACAACGTGGATGACCTCAAGGAAGTTGTTGCTGCGAATAAAGAAGACAGGGTGAGGAAAGCAATGGAAGCTCAGGCTATAATTACAGAGGAATCAAAACACTTTGAAGCGTGGAGAGATTCGCTGGAGACAGTTCCAACAATCAAGAAATTAAGGGGATATACAGAGAGAATTATAGCTGCAGAGGTTGAGAAATTCTTGCCGAAAATGGGTGGCATTGTGATGGACAAGAAGATGAGAAAAGCAGTAGACGATCTAATCCGAGGTATAGTGAATAAGCTCCTACATGGGCCAATGCAACATTTGCGATGCGATGGGAGCGACAGCAGAACACTGAGTGAGACGCTGGAGAACATGCAGGCTCTAAACAGGATGTATGGACTTGATGCAGAGATACTCGAGGAGAAGATTAGAGCCAAGGTGGGGAAAAAGTAGAGAGAGAGCCTTTGTTGCATCCATTTTTTAGTTTCGTAGAGGTTAAAGTTCGGCACATTTGTAATATAAAAGCTTGAGGAAAAGAGAGTGAAGATAGCTTCTGGGGAAGAAGATCTTCTGGCTCATGTCCTTGATGAGAAACATACAATTATATTGTTTCATTGCGTTCTTTTGTTAAAACTTTGTATACATAATATACACAATTTATTTCCTAACATCTACTTCCGAAACAAATCAACAATTATAACCATCATTGGAGAAGCAAAATTGTTTAATTCTTTGTTGATAAACGATACATTTTAAAGTCTTTATGTGATATTTGGTTGATAAAGAAAGCAATCTTGGAGGACCCAACAGGTAAAAACGAAGTCACGTACAAAAATTTGGTTCCCTCCATTTTTTTTGCTTTCAAATTTTTTGCACTGGCTACTCTATGAAAGATTGTAAGTACTAAGTACAACCAAACCCATTCATTCCATCACAAAAATTTTTTTTTTTAATTTTGCGTGAATTTTTAGAGTGGGTAGTTTTTGTCCGGAAATAACAGTTTCTAGATTAGTCATGTGTGAGACATTTCTAACTAAAATATTTGGACATGTATTTGACGACAAGTAACTTCGGTTATATCAAAGACGGAAATATAAAGTTTCAAAAGCTAAACGAGTTAAGAAAGACTAAACGAGTAAAACATACAGTTCAAGGCAATATATTAACATTTCTTCTTGGAGTATACGATATGTCTTTTGTCTCTTTCGTTTTTTTTCTTTCTCTACGTGGTTCGAACCGTATTTGGCTCTAAGATCATCCAACGTTGAAATATTGAAACTAAAACAAAATATAATCAATTTTTGGTTCCCCAAACAAATTAAAATAAGGCAGAAACATTTTTTTATGTATATATGTATTTTTGGATACGTATTCAACTTGTTACGAGGTACTGTATTCCATGATCATGTATATGGTTTCTTCAGCTCCATATTATATTGGACAAACCATTCATCGTGATTACAAGATCTTATATATTTAGGTATAAAAAGAGTTATATAAAAATATATTTGGGGAGTTCCTTTAAATAATAATTAGAAACTAAAACCCACAATTAGTACTTGGAAATGATCTATTATTGCGGTCCTTGTTATACATTAGTAAAGACTAAGAGAGGAATGAGTCAAATCAAATGTTTGACTTGTATTTGCATGAAAGTTTACGTACCATTCGACTTCACCTGTGTGTTATCTTTGATTATTTCCCACTATATAAAGAAAGCAATGAGAGAGCCTAATAATAACATCATCGATCACTTTAATACGATAAGTAACCTTGAGTTCAAAGAAGACCCCTTGAGATATTATTTGCCTGCCAATAATACGAACCGTCTCTTTAATAGGTTTGATATATATCTGCGACTAATATTTTCGTAATCTCTTATGATTTTTTAATAATGTTCTCGTTAATGCATGTACTGTGTGCCAATGTTATGTTTACAATGAAAATAATATAATGTGTAGAGAAATGGATGCAAGATTCTTGTACCCCTTGGAGAGCTGTAAAATCATTCACTTGGTAAGTACTCTATCGTCGTCACTAATAAAGAGGCTGAGTACGGTGATACATCTTATTTACGTTTCTTCTTTAATTTATTAAAGTTGAGACATGGAGAAGCGGAGCACAATGTAGCAGCCAAAAAAGATAGAAGTGCGTTGCTGTCTCCTCATCTCTTTGATGCTCCGCTTACCGATCATGGTAACCAACAGGTAAACCCTAAATATCTCCTACACTTTTAACTTTAACCACATGGATCAAAATCGCCTCAGGAGATGATCCACTTTGTGCATTGCTATAACTTCTAATCATTTAATGCTTCTCTTAAGGTTGAGAATCTCCGCGAACAACTCGAAACAAGCGGGCTGCTAAAGAGGATTGAGCTAGTTGTAACTTCTCCCTTGTTTAGGTAACATATATATATATATATATATATATATATATGCATTGAAGAATAGACTTGGTTATATTTGTATCTTTTATGTTTTATAGTGGCTTGGACTGATTAATTATTCGGTTTATGAATAGAACTATGCAAACCGCAGTTGGAGTTTTTGGAAAGGAATCCAAACAAGCAAGAATGACAAGTAGCCCTCCCATTGTGGCACTTGAGGTTGCTCGAGACCGTAATGTATGTTTGAGGAAATATGTTTCATTTATATATATATATATATATTATATTCATCGTCCATATCGAACAAATTCATCATGGTAACGAAACATGGATATGTATTTTTTTTTTATTGTGCACGCAGGGAGTCCGTCCTCCTGACATGAGAAGAAACGTTAGCGAGTACCAAACTCTTTTCCCCACCGTTGATTTCTCTCAGGCAACGAGCTAGCTTTCACTCTTTCTTCATTAACAAATCATATATTAATTCTTGGAATACTATATTATACATTAAAGACTTATCAACATATGTATAAAGAATACACATGGTGATTTCTCTAATATTTTGGATATCATATTATATATAGATTGAAAGCGAAGAGGACAACCTATGGAGACCAGATGTTAGAGAGTCGGAAGAAGAGATTTTGGCGAGAGGGTTAGAGTTCATGAAATGGTAACCTTTTCAAATCTTAATTAACTTCGTGGAATTAATATAGATTACATAAGCATATAGAGAATTGAGAAATTTTCTCTATAAACTAATTAAGGTTGTGGAAGAGACCAGAGAAGGAAGTCGCAGTTGTAAGCCATGGAATAGTATTGCAGCATATGATGTACGTGTTCGCAAACGATTGTGACGACTCAACTAGAAATGAACTTTTCAAGAGGTACAAAAAAAGTTTCCCTTTAGCTACGTATATGTAGTTCAACTTATAGTTGATATTATTTATTTTGTAATAACTAAAATATATTCTTTAACAGATTTGTTAATTGCGAAATTCGTACTGTCGTGATTGTAGACAAAGGGAGGTTAGTGTGTGATCTTCATCTAGTTCGTTTATGATTATCCATTTCGGTTACTATAGTGGATTGTTATATATATGCTTTTATTTTTCAGCCTGATCAGCTCAACTGCGGAGAATTGACGTACGACGGAGTCTTTTGGTCGAAATTACGTGTTATTGATTTTATTGTTTTATTCTTAAAGCTCGAATTAAAAGAGCTTCTCCTACCAACCTAGCTATATCTGTTTTTCTTTCTTCTGCAATGTTCAGGAAATGTATCAAATAAATGGAAAATAAACACTATCATAAATAGATAGTATACGATATGATATAGTTATGTAATGGAATAAAAAGACTGTTGTTGTTGAGAAATTCATATACGGTAGTCTTTTAAATCGATATAACTACCAGCCACGTGGCCCTTGCATAAAATGGAAAAAGTAACCGACCGATTTCGGGGAAGAGCTGGTGTTTTTGCTGGGGAATACCAAAAGAGGAAACCCTGGCGCTGAACCATATATATACATATCAATATTTCCACCAAATTTCTTTAATATAATAGATTTGAAAATTATACACCCATTAACACGGCTTCAGCGATTGGGTTAGACTTTTTCTTTAGTCCATTCTAAGGGTTGTAGTCTACAGACGACGTAGTCCATTGAATTTTAGAAAACTTCCATATTGCTTCCGAGTTGTTTCTGAGGGGCTTCCCCCGGCCCCATGAATTTAAGTGGGGACAGTGGATCTATGTATATATACATATATAAATATTGATTCGACATGAGCTAAGGACGAATATATAAAGAAGAGGATGGTTTTGTAAATATTTTATTGGTAGCAGTTGCTTAACAAAATTATAATTAAGTAAAAATTATATTGTAGTTAGTTTATAATAAGGAGTTCACTACGTGTGTATGGATAGACATGGAATTATGTGGAGCTCAGACGCTGCGACTCTCATCGCCCAATTTCAAAATCCTTCATTTGGTTAGTCTTCCATGTTTTTCTTTTTCAATCTCTTATAATTATAGCGGTATTACTTGTTGCACAGGCCCTTTTGTGCTTGAGTTTACATTTACGTACGTAAAGGGTACTGCAGAGCCATGTTTTAATTTGTTGTATTGGACCTACCGGAATTGAATAAAGGTGAGGCATGCACAAGGAATCCACAATGTAGCATTAGAAGAGCAAGGAGAGAAACCTGAATCAGAAAAGCTTTTTGATGCCCACCTCTCTCCAAAGGGTTTGCAACAGGTGACAGAATTACATCTATATATAATATCAACCATATGCTTAGGGTTTGATATACCACCTTGAGGTGCACTCTTGTATATGCATCATTTTTCGACAATTCCACAGGTTTCTGAAAGGCGCAAGAAAATCCTTGAATTAGGGTTGTTAGACACTATCGAGTTGGTGATTACCTCAACTCTACGCCGGTACGTACTACTACAGCTACCAATTTCTTATTTTGACTAATATTTAATTTCTGGTAGAATCACCTTGGGGAATATGTGGTTAGACCTACTTTTTAGTGTTTAAAAAATCTCTGCCTAACTCCAATACTCTCTGTATAAATCACTAGATCCACCATATCCGCTTCGGTTAATAACTAATCCCGACATGATGATGAATTGTTATATAATATATATATATATATATATATATATATTATAAAATTCAAATCTTGAAGGTTCTTTTTTGGTGGTATGGTTCCCAAGTATCCATCAACAATTAAGTTTATAAACTGAAGACTTTTGAATTGTTATCCATAATTGGGCAGTTGAATAGAAACACTGTTTCATTTAATTTCAGAACAATGGAAACTTCAGTAGGACTATTTAGGGAACAAGAAGATATCAATATACCCAACAACCTCCCTCCAATTGTAGCACTTGACATTTGTAGAGAACGCATGGTAATATCAAATATTCATTGCTTTAAACAAACAAAAAAAACAGATTGTTATAAAGCTTAATATATATATGTGTTCCAATATAATGGATGATGAATTATAATGGACTCTAGTTGTTCGATCGATATTCTCTGCAGGGACTCTATCCGTGTGATCGTAGAGCAAGTATAAGTACTCACCGCATTTGTTTTCCTGACATCGACTTTACAGAGGTAGTTAATCATCTCACCATTTATTCCTTTAGAAGCTCATATTGATCATCTTCTATTTATCAATTTTGATCATTTTATATTTTCATATGGTTATATTATTATACATAGATAAAGAGTGATGAAGATGCTGGATGGAAAGATAAGGAAAGGGAAACACTAGAAGAGGTTGTTACTAGAGGTCTTCGCTTTTTAACATGGTGACTACGAACTTTCCTTTCTTCTTTTTAAATTAGACTTTCACATTTTCATGCATTATATTAATTAAAATGGTGGTCCATCTATATCTTTAGAAATAACTCTATTTCGGATATTGTCATTCTAATATATATGTCCACTCGAAATATGGACAGAAACATCCACGATCCATCATGTTGACCAAACTGCAATTAGATTACAAGACGAATTAGTTCGTAAAAAGGAAAAAAAAAACGAAATACTATATAGCTAGTGAAAATATAACTCAAATCCAGTTGATAATGAAGTGGCATATATCTTTTATGCACTAAGTTAGAATCATGATCATTTTATTGTGTTTAACATTCTAAATAACATTGTTTTAAATGATCCATTATACGTACGTAATTATTCAAATAAAGTTGTTATATACTTGGAATCAATATTTCCATGTGTGATTCATAATAACTCCAAGGAATAGTCTATATATTTGAGTCATACATTATTTTATTAACATGAATCAGAATAAATTTCTGATATAATCATATCAGTGGTATAGTCTATGTATGTTCCGAAAATTACACTAATTTAGAAGAAGAGAAAAAAACAACATGTGTAGGTTAAGGGAGAGACCAGAAAAAGAAATAGCAATTGTAAGCCACGGGATTTTCTTGCAACAAACACTTCTTGCGCTGCATGAAAGGCGTGGCATGCCTCTTCAAGATGCTCACCTTACAAGGTGATTTATTATGCTACTCCCCCCCCCCCCCCCACTCTCTTCACTCTATTCACTAAATACATATATATATATATCAAAACTGGATTTCAATTATTTATTTTTGTTTGTTTAGGTTTGCCAATTGTGAACTCCGGACAATTCGGATAGAGAAGAGGTACGTAACTAAAGTTAGCTTAGTTTACCCAACAAAAAAAGAAGAAGCTAAATTAAGTAGCTAATGTTAGCTTTAGGAAATAGAAGGACATTTTTACAAGTAGTCTTGTGTTCTAATAACGTTTTAATTAAGTGCAGTTACATGGAATAGTGGATACATTAACGAATAACGACGACTTGTAATTGTAGAAACTAGCTACGTTTCCTTCAACTTCTATTCACACGCTTGAATATAAAAGGCAAACTGAACTGTACGTGTTTTCTTTTTCCAAAGCCACACAAACATATGACGTCGTCCATAGAAGATCGAAGCTGATATCCCATTACCAAGCCCTACCACTACTAATGTATTGTTGATTTTTTTTCTATAGATCTTTAATTATATATCCCTATACACCTTTTTTAAAAAACATAAAAAAATTTGTAAAATATTATATACTTTTCCTTGAATAATTTCATCGATATTATAGTTGAATAAAGTTAATAAATATTACTCAAGGTACCAATAGGATTGTTTCCCGCTTAAAGAGGCGATGAATGTTTGCAACCAACTTCGATTCGCCGGAGACAGTACTACTCTTCAGTTTATACACAAATATATATATCTCCTTTTGGATACTCTCCCTTTATTTTTATTTTATTTTATTTTATTTTCCTATCGAAACAAATCACAAATCTCAAATAAAGATTCTCATGAATCTCTTTATAAAGATTCTTCCAATATTCTCTGACGCCTCATTCTCCCAAACCCTAGATCCCGCCACACTCGCCGCAAACAATGGCTGCGATTGAATCACACAAACCGGAGATCACCAACGCCGATGACGACGAAGACGAATCTCCCGTGGAGGAGGTTCGTCTCACTGTGTCGAACCACGACGATCCTTCTTTACCCGTGTGGACGTTTCGGATGTGGTTTCTAGGTCTCCTCTCTTGTGTCCTCCTCTCGTTTCTCAACACTTTCTTCGGATACAGGACTCAGCCTCTGATGATCACTATGATCTCTGTTCAAGTCGTTACGTTGCCTTTAGGGAAGCTTATGGCTCGTGTTTTGCCTGAGACTAAGTATAAGATCGGGTCATGGGAGTTTTCGTTTAATCCGGGTCCGTTTAACGTGAAAGAGCATGTGTTGATCTCCATGTTTGCTAACGCTGGTGCTGGGTTTGGATCTGGTACTGCTTATGCTGTTGGAATTGTTGATATCATCATGGCTTTTTATAAACGGAAGATTAGTTTCCTGGCTAGTTGGATTCTTGTTATCACTACTCAGGTCTCTTTCAATTTCAATTATTTCATATTTTCTCTCTTTTTTTTTTTTTTATAATGAAGTTTTTGGTGATTAGTTATGATTGTCTGTTGTTGAACCAGATTCTTGGGTATGGTTGGGCTGGTATCATGAGAAAGTTAGTGGTTGATCCTGCTCAGATGTGGTGGCCAACGAGTGTTCTTCAAGTCTCTCTGTTTCGGTATGTTAGTTTGATATTGCATAGCATTTGATTTTGAAGTTGTTTATATAAATGTGCTTGACAGTATTGTTTTTTTTTTTTTAAACCTTTGTCTAGTGCTCTTCATGAGAAGGACAATGCTAGAATGTCTAGAGGGAAGTTCTTTGTGATTGCGTTTGTTTGTAGCTTCGCGTGGTACATATTCCCTGCCTACTTGTTCTTGACCTTATCATCAATATCTTGGGTTTGTTGGGCATTCCCAAAGTCTATCACAGCTCAGCAGTTAGGCTCTGGAATGTCAGGACTTGGCATTGGTGCATTTGCTCTTGATTGGTCTGTCATTGCTTCTTACCTTGGAAGCCCTCTTGTGACTCCTTTCTTTGCAATCGTCAACGTCCTCGTTGGTTACATTCTGGTCATGTATATGGTTATCCCTATATCATACTGGGGAATGAATGTGTATGAAGCAAACAAGTTTCCAATTTTTTCCTCTGATCTGTTTGATAAGCAAGGGGAGCTTTACAATATCTCCACCATTGTCAACAATAAGTTTGAGTTGGACATGGGGAATTATCAACAAGAAGGTCGGGTTTATCTCAGCACGTTCTTCGCTATCAGCTACGGGATTGGTTTCGCAGCCATCGTTTCCACACTGACTCATGTTGCACTCTTCAATGGAAAGTAAGCTGATCAGCTTATCAATAATGAACTTATATGCACTAACTTGAGGTTGAATTTTACTAATCTTCTTTTTGATTTAGGGGAATTTGGCAACAAGTACGAGCTTCAACCAAAGCTAAAGTGGACATACACACAAGGTTGATGAAGAAGTACAAAGACATACCAAGCTGGTGGTTTTACGGCCTGCTAGCTATCTCATTAGCACTATCTCTTGTTCTCTGCATTTTCATGAAAGACCAGATCCAGATGCCTTGGTGGGGACTCCTTCTAGCTTCTTTCATGGCTTTAACCTTCACCGTACCAGTCAGCATTATCACTGCTACAACTAATCAGGTACCACAACTTCCCACTTTATTTAATCCCCAAAACATAATTAATTAGGATCTTTTCTGTTTTCTCACTTTTCAAACTGTTGTGACAGACTCCAGGTCTGAACATCATCACAGAGTATCTCATGGGTGTGTTGTTACCAGGGAGACCAATAGCTAACGTCTGCTTCAAAACTTACGGGTACATAAGCATGTCACAAGCAATTTCATTCCTCAACGACTTCAAGCTAGGCCATTACATGAAGATACCGCCAAGGTCGATGTTCTTAGTCCAGCTCATAGGAACGGTGATAGCAGGCACAGTGAATATATCAGTGGCATGGTACTTGCTCACATCAGTAGAAAACATATGCCAGAAAGAGTTGCTTCCTCCGAACAGTCCATGGACATGTCCAAGTGACAGGGTTTTCTTTGACGCATCAGTGATTTGGGGATTAGTAGGACCCAAGAGAATCTTTGGCCGGCTAGGAAACTACCCTGCACTAAACTGGTTCTTCTTAGGTGGACTGATAGGACCTGTCCTCGTATGGCTTCTCCAAAAGGCCTTCCCGACAAAAACATGGATCTCGCAGATCAATCTCCCGGTGCTTTTAGGGGCAACAGCTGCAATGCCGCCAGCAACAAGCGTGAACTTCAACTGCTGGATCATTGTAGGTGTGATATTCAACTACTTTGTGTTCAAGTACTACAAAGGGTGGTGGCAGAGGTATAATTACGTGCTATCAGCAGCATTAGACGCGGGTTTAGCGTTCATGGGAGTGCTCTTATACTTTAGTCTGACGATGAATGGTATCTCTATTGATCATTGGTGGGGTGCTAATGGTGAGAACTGTCCTCTTGCCTCTTGTCCTACTGCTCCTGGAATTCAAGTCGAAGGTTGTCCTGTTTTTTAAGTTTTTTTTGGTTTCTTTTAGATTTACAGCTTTCTGGAGATATTTGTCCCATTTGTTTTTAGACTTGAATCTGTTAATTTTTTGGGCCGGACTGAACTTGGAGAGATAGTACAGATAAACAAAATCAGACTCTAATGATTAATTAGCGAGTAATGTTTCGTTCAACGTTGATTTATTTATCTGTTCTACTAAAGTAATAATCACAGAAGTTGTATATAAAAAACCTTTGATAATTTGAGATTATAATAGCAATCAACCCATATGTTTTTATATTACCTAAAGATAGTTTATATATCTAGTTAGGTAGTGTAATCTGTGGCGCGTGGACTACAATGCGAGTGGAGGAGCGTGGACGAAGACATTAAAATGTCTGTGGTTTGGGTTGAAGCCAAAAAAAAAGGCAAATTCATTAATCTCTGAGAGTTTGGTTCAACTATATTTTCATCATTATTTACATATTTTATTCATTAATAAAAGGGCACTAATAATTTGAGTCTCTCTCTCTCTCTTCTCTCTTCTCTCTTCTCTCTTTTATATCTCAAAATCCCAAGAAAACGAGGTTAAAGATCCGTGATTCTTAAATTTCGTTCTTAAGGTGTCTCTGATCGTTCCTGTTTCTCATCTGATCTGTTTATTTGCTTCCCATCTGTGAAATTAAGTTCCTTTTTTGTTTGTTTGTCGTTTGAAGATGGAGACTGCGACTGGAGAAGAAATCACCATCGTATGCAACCACTGGTACGTTTCCCTGATTTCTCTTTCTGGGTTTGTTGACTTGCTCTGTTTTGTTCGGATTCTTGGGTGATTGGTTGCTTTCCGTGGTTTCTCCTTGTTGCTTATCGTTCGATGATGACTTATGTAATTCGAAATTCTGGGACTCGAGGTTATAATTCTCTGTTCTTTTTTGGAATTGATTGGTGATTGCAAGCTGTGTCACATTTTAATATACTTGTGAGCTGTGTGATTCAGTTTGGTTTCAGCTTGGTTTGTGTTGTCGGTGATTAGAATTATAACCAAGGGCTTGTGATGGTTGGACTATGCAATTATGTGATGTGCTGCCCCTTTTGCAAAAGAGCTGTTTTTTTTTTTTTTTGGCCACCTACTAAATGGTTGTTTTCTTTTGTCACTTCCCTAAAATCATTCCTGATAAATTAATGGACTATGCATCAGCTTCCTTTCGTGTCTACAAGAGTTTGATTGTATTCTGTCACTGTCTCTCTGATGGATTGCTGAGTTTCTAGAGGGCTTTGTGTGCTTTGTCTAATTATTGTAGCCTCGAGTCTGCTGAGACTCTGTATTTTCAATAGCCGGATCATTTTGCATGGTCAATGGTAACATCTACTTGGATGGTTGATCCTTTGAGAGTGTCGTAATAAGCTTAGCGTGCTTTTTTTCAGTGACAGAGACATTCCATCACCAAATATTGATCTGCATCGTGTACATTGTGCCCGGAATTTAGAAAAATGTAAGATTTGTGGTGATATGGTACCCAAAAAGCATGCTGAGGAGCACTTCTTGAACACACATGCTCCGGTACGCTGATTTTACTATTTCTCACCAGTCTTGAACAAACTTCTCTTTGCTAGCTCCATAAAAAAACTATACTCTGACATTTAGATTGGTTGATCAAATGGATTTCCATTGTTTCATATAGTGGTTCTGCTCTCAAATATTTTGATTGCTTGTTACAATTAACAAATAAGATCACTTATGCATTGATTTGACTGATAACACAAACAGCTAGTCTTTATCAACCTTTGTTCCTTAGGTGTTGTCATTGCATACTATTCTTGAGTTTTTTGGTTGACAAGAACACTAGTAACTGCAGCGTGTGTTTGCAAGTTTGTGACTGTTTCAATTACTAGATCAACACTCAAGATTAGTTATTGAAAATAACAAGTAGGAATTTCTTATGTTTCTGTTTTAGTCTCAGTACGTTTGTATGGTTTTAGATTCTGCTAGATGACCGAAATGACTTTTTCTTACTATATTCCTCTTGTACTGCATTGAGAAGATAGCATGCTCGATGTGCCAAGAGACCATAGAACGTGAGATTTTTGACAGTCATAAAGGAGAAATATGCCCCAAAAGGATTGTAACCTGTGAGTTCTGTGAGTTTCCATTGCCTGCAGTTGATCTTGCTGAACATCAGGTATTCGCTCTTACTCACCCATACTTTTCCTTTACTCTCCAACCAAAGGATTTTCTGACCGCTCGGTTTTCCCAATTTTAGGAAGTGTGTGGCAACCGAACAGAACTCTGTTATCAATGCAACAGCTATGTAAGATTGAGAGAAAGATATAACCATGAAACCAAATGCCCTGGTACTGTGCTGAACAATGTGGAATCATCCAGGTATATATATTCTTATCTGCATTGTGTTATTTTTGAAACTCTGCTTAATCTTTATATTTTGGCTAAACTCATATTGTGGAATGGATAATGCAGAAGGATCCCGAGGGCAGCAGAAGGAGATGGAAACGGTAGGAGGCGAAGAGATGGGGACGGTGTTTCGCACAAAAGGCTTTTCTTCACGATAGCAATAACAGGGATAGCTGTCTTAATAGGATCGTTGTTCTTCCAGAGGAAGCCTGAGTAGAGAGAGAGGGCATAGCTTGTGTGTAATTCTGTAAATTTGCCTCAAATCCTTCAGACAGATTCTAAGGAAGGGTTTAATTAATGCTTACCAAGACAGAGAGATCTGTGCACCCTAAGAGATTTGTTTGAGCTGATATCACCATGAGACTTGCTTTCTTAATATTTTGTTTCAATAAAAGAGATTTCAGATTCATTTGGAGTTGAACCGAAACTAAAATCTAATTACATTCGATTAATGATGAGATTTAAATTACAAGTAAAACTCGTTAGATACTTGAGAAAACAAAGAAAGACAAACGCAGTCGTACCCAAACAAAGGCACAGAAGCGCTTTAACCAAACGCTAGCGCAGACTCTCTCTCTCTAGATCCTGTACACGTGCGTGTGCGTGAGCACCAGGCTTCGGTGGTGATCGCGTGGCGTGGGTCGAGTACTGATGAAGAGACTGGCTGATCGGCTCCTGCACCGTTTCACTAACCATGAAACCGCTTTAAATGCTGGCCACCGCTGTAATTTCTCGTCTAACCTTCTCCAGCTCTCTTCTTATGGTTTCTTCATCCTCTGGTTTAACTACACCGATTTCGATGAACTTGAGAATGGTTTTGAACTTGCTCAACGAAATTGTGACATCAAAGTTCGTATTTTTAGCCCGGATGAGAAAATAGACTTCAAAATTCTGTTGGTTTACTTGTCTTGTTTTGAGCATTTACTTCGAAACTGTTCTTTCCTTATTTCATGAAATTGGGGTTTGTTTATTTGTGGAAATAGTTTCCCTTTAATGGGTCTACGTATAAATCCACAAAGGAATGGACTTTAAACCATAACAGAGTTACAGTTTATTGATTAGTATATTTTGTATGCAAATTTGCTTGATTGTCGGAGGTAAAACGCCTTTGCAGTTTGTTCTGAGACCAGTTCTACAGATCCTATATCTATGGCCGCTTCAAAAGTCTTGTTTTGCACTAGCATTTCTTTGCTTTGATTTTTCTTGTGATTCTGCCTTCTTCCTTGTAATAATGTGATCATATTAATATTAGTCTCTTTAGTTTCTCTACAAGCATATCTCTTGATTTTTTTCTTACATTCAAAAGGGACAGATCAAGGTACAAGTGGCCCTAGTCATAGAAAGGATAACAGAATGTCCTCTCAAGGTGTCAAGTTGCATATCCATGACCGATATGTAATGCAACTTTCTCAGTCTATAATGTCTCCTTTTATGTGTCATTTATTAAATGTGTTTTGACTGACGACAGAAATGTTGCAGGTTGTGTTGGACAATGGAATTCTCCAAGTTACACTGTCAAACCCAGGTGGAATCATCACCGGCATAAAGTATAACGGTGTTGATAATGTACTCGAAGTTCGTAATAAGGAGACTAACAGAGGGTATGAGTCATGTTTCTAACTCGATATTGTTTTTACTGTGTTCAATGATACTTTCTCTTCTTCAGTTTTCCTGAGAAGCCTAGTTAATTGAAATTACTCGAATGTATAGGTACTGGGACCTGCACTGGAATGAACCTGGAGGCAAGGGAATATTTGATGTGTATGTCCTTTATGCATTTACCTTTATAGTCGTTAGGATTAGGAGCTCAGAACCATCTTATATAGGTCTTCGTCATGCTATTGGTCGTCGCATCTGCTAGTGGCATTTTTCAGTACTGGTGGAGTTGAGTTGATGTATAACTCAAAACAAGTTTTTCTCCACCTAAATAAACTTGTTAATTGTCACTGCTGCATCCAAATCCCCTATAATAATGATTTTTTTCTTCTTCTTCTTTTTTCTGCGTTCTGCCTGTATATATGATGTGTACTAAAACTTGTTGGATGGTAAATAATGTGTACTACTTGATGGATCATTTGATCGTATCTATGCAGCATCAGTGGAGTGAGTTTCAGGGTCATAGTTGAGACTGAAGAACAGGTTGAGATCTCATTTGTAAGAACATGGGATCCATCCCTTGAGGGCAAGTACATTCCCCTGAATATCGATAAAAGGTCTATATTGCATGATGTATTTCCTATAATGAGAAAGAAAAGTAGAGAAGAGACATTGACTAGATACTCTTTCTTTCAGGTTTATAATGCTTCGTGGCTCTTCTGGAGTTTACTCGTATGGCATTTATGAACACCTCAAGGATTGGCCTGGATTTGAACTTGGAGAAACAAGAATAGCATTCAAGCTCAGAAAAGACAAGTAATATTGTCTCTATTTCCTACGTCAACTTCTCTGTCTTATATGAAGTCTAAATGTCTAATCACCTTAAGATCCATTTTTTTGCACTGAGAAGAAAAACATCAAATGTTATTGATTGCATGTCCATGTGAAGAGTATTATAGATCCCAAACAAAAGATAGTGTCATTTTTCAGATATTTATTTATTGGGTTTAATTGCTCGTCCACACAACTGTGTAGTTATTTGATATCTCATATATATCCCCCTTGCCATTCGTTTCTACAGATTCCATTACATGGCTGTGGCAGATGACAGAAAAAGGATAATGCCTTTTCCAGATGATCTATGTAAAGGAAGATGTCAAACTCTAGATTACCAGGAAGCTTCTCTTCTCACTACTCCATGTGATCCACGCTTGCAAGGCGAAGTATGAGTTCCATATTTTTCACTTATTTAGAAATTAGAACATTATGATCTTTTTCATGCTTGTTTGAGCTGTTTAATAGCCTATCTACTAATACATGAAATCGTATATTATGACCTTATGCTGGCTTTCTGATGTATTACAACTTCAAAAAATGAATCCGGCAAATTCTGTTTCCTCGAGAACTAAATCAATTTTTTTTCTCTGACAGGTAGATGACAAATACCAGTATTCGTGTGAGAATCAGGATCTTAGAGTACATGGATGGATATCCTTCGATCCACCTATAGGATTCTGGCAAATTACGCCCAGTAATGAGTTTCGCTCAGGCGGACCACTCAAACAAAACCTCACATCACATGTTGGCCCAACCACTCTTGCAGTAAGTGTCCCTGTGAAAAATGTGGTACTTGTTTCAGTATAATACTTAGAAGTACAATATTGATCTTGGTTTAAATAATGGTTATTTCCAGGTGTTTCACAGTACCCATTATGCTGGAAAAACCATGATGCCTCGTTTTGAACAAGGTGAGCCTTGGAAGAAAGTCTATGGCCCTGTTTTCATTTACCTAAATTCGACACCCCATGGAGATGACCCACTTTGCTTATGGGACGATGCTAAGATAAAGGTACGAAAGAAGCAAATTTCCATCAGACTTGCTGATACAAAAAAAGATTTGTGGTAATGTAAGGACTCACTTAAATGAGTTATCTGTATAGATGATGGCTGAAGTTGAAAGTTGGCCTTATAGCTTTGTGGCATCTGAGGAATATCCAAAGTCTGACGAACGTGGTACGGCCCGTGGTAGATTACTTATCCGTGACAGGTATTAGTGTTATTTTATATTCTCATTGTCATTTGTTTCCTGGATCGTCCTTTATATTGTGTTGCTTCTGTAATTGTATTCTTAAAATGTTAACATTCCACCAAAAGTTTACGTATTAACATTGATTTTGTATAGGTTCATAAGCAATGATTTGATATCAGCAGGAGGTGCTTATGTGGGTTTGGCTCCACCTGGTGGTTCTGGTTCTTGGCAAATTGAATGCAAGGTGAATTTTCCTTCTCCTTTCTTAATTGTTTTCAACAAGCAAACATAACAAGATTGGTTCAAAGATGTTCAAGACATCAAGAAAGAACTCTATGATGGAACTACCAACAAAATAAAACAAAGAACTGTTTGCCAATCAGGGATACCAATTTTGGGCGGTAGGGGATGAGGCTGGCTATTTCTCAATAGGGAATGTGCGTCCTGGCGAGTATAATCTCTATGCCTGGGTCCCCGGTTTCATTGGAGATTACCATGATGGCAAAATTGTTTCTGTGACTTCAGGTAAATTAGTTCTATCAAATTAAATAGTTTACTCTATATCAGCCAATTCTTGAGGGACATAACAACACAGGGGGCAAGATTGAATTGGGTGATATCATTTATGAACCTCCGAGAGATGGACCTACCTTATGGGATATTGGTATCCCTGACCGAAAAGCTTCTGAGTTCTTTATCCCAGATCCTGATCCCGCGCTTGTAAACAGGGCTTTCGTCCATCATCAAGACAGGTTTATTAGCTTACACCTTTGTGAACCACACTACTTGTATGCGTGAATAACTGAATTAAACACTGTTTTCTTATTATCTGCAGGTTCAGACAATATGGGTTGTGGAACAGATACACAGATTTGTATCCAAATGATGACCTTGTTTACACTGTTGGTGTAAGCGATTACCGTAGAGACTGGTTCTTTGCTCAGGTTCCCAGGAAGAAAGGAGACGGGCAGGAAGGAACAACTTGGCAGATTAGTTTTAAACTTGAAAACATCGATCAAAAGGCGAATTACAAACTGAGAATCGCCATAGCATCTGCAACCTTAGCTGAGTTGCAGGTAAAAATGAAACTTCATCTTTTTACAGAGATAAAGAAGTTAAGGCTGTAATTGACATCTTCTGTTTGCAGATTCGAGTCAATGATGCGGAAGCAGTCCGCCCTCTCTTCACAACCGGACTTATTGGGAGAGACAACTCAATAGCAAGGCATGGGATCCATGGGGTTTACATGCTGTATGAGGTGAACATACCAGGAAACCGGGTTGTGCAAGGTGATAACACTATATTCCTGAGACAGCCAAGATGCAATGGTCCCTTTCAAGGGATTATGTACGACTACATTCGTCTTGAAGGCCCTTCTTAACTTACTTTGGAATTATATAGCATAGTATATTATGTATTGCTGTATAAATATGGAATTTGTAAATTAACACGAGAAGATGTAACAACTGAATCATATTGATATGCAAACTCCAAAGACCAAAATTCTGACAAAATCAATACTGAACCTAAGACTTAATAAGTAGAAAGGAGCCATTGAAAATGTTCTCTTAAGCACAAATCAAGACAAGCGAGTGAACTACTTTATGCTACATCTTCCCTGCAACTTGCTCTGCAGAGCTTTTCTTCATGAGTCCCTTGTTACAAAGCTCATTAAGCAGCTCCAGAGCTTCCTTTGCCATACCTTCATAAGCTAAGCCTTCTATCAGAATCGTGTATGACGTTTCAGTCGGTTTACACCCTCTATTGATCATATAAACCAAGAAATCAATGGCGCGATCCGTTTGTCGAGTCTTACAGAGTCCTAGCATTATAGAGTTGAAGGTGACTGCATTTGGCCTAATGCCCATCCGCTCAAACTCATGGAAAAACTTTATGGCTTCATCTACTTTACCTTCCCTACTTAAACCTCCGACAAGAGAGGAATAGGTGATAGTGTCAGGCTTTAGATCTTTAGCACGCATCTCGTCAAGAAGTTTTATCGCTTTGCCTGTTTTACCTGCTTTTGCAAGCCCATCGATGACAGTATTATAAGTGATTAGAACCGGAGAACATCCCTTGCTGCTAAGTTGATTGAGTATCTCAACCGCATCTTCAACTTTCCCATCTTTGCACAAAGCCGTTAGCATAGTGTTGTAGGTCACAATGTCCGGGTAACAACCACGAGAGACCATTCTTTCCAAATACTCGATTGCCCTATCCATCTTTTTCTCCTTACAAAACCCATGAAGCAGCGGGTTGTAACTCAAAGAATTCGGCTGGCATCCATGATTAGGCATCTTTTCCAAAATGTCAATAGCTCGGCCAAGCAAACCCTTTCTGCACAAGAAATTAATCAAGATATTGAAAGTGACAACACTTGGCGAAAAGCCTTTACGAAGCATATCAGCAAGAAGCTTCTCCGCGTCCATCCATCTCCCGGTACTACACATACTCCGCAGAATTATGTTATGTGTAATAACATTTGGTTGACATCCAGAAGATGGCATGTCATTCAAGAACTTGATCGCCTCATTTAGTCTTCCCTCTTTACAAATACCATTGACGAGAACGTTATAAGTGACAACATCTGGCGTACATCCTCTATCCCTCATTTCATCTAGAAGCTTCATGGCCTGTCCAACACCGCTATCTCTGCAAGTAGCTTCGATCAATATAGTGTAAGTAATGACATCAGGATAACAGTCTCGCTGAAGCATCCTATCAAGAACCTCCATGGCTTGCTTTAGTTTCCCACTATCGCAGAGAGAACGCAAGATGGTATTGTAAGTGACAACATCCGGGGAAACACTCATTCTATCGAGAACAGATAAAGCGTTACTGATCTCCCCGGCTTTACAATACCCACTAATCATAACATTGTAAGTTATAACATCAGGAACAGCACCAGAGCCTTCAAGAATCTCCAAGATCTTTGCGGCTTTCCTCGTCTTACCCATCCTACAGAACCCACGGATCAGTGTCGTGCAGGGAATGATATCTGGAACGTTACCGTGATAAACCATGTTTTCCAGAAACCTAAACCCTTCCTCCAATTCCCCAGTTCTAACCAGCTGACGCAAATGGTTGTTACTCTCGACATCTTCCAACGCAAAAGACGAATTCGCAGTGCTGTAATGACCGTTACCGTTACTGTTGGTATGCCCAGAGGCAGAAGAAGTTTCGAACTTTTGAGCTCTACCATTAAGACCCGAACTCTCGACTTTGGAGGCCGCGAAAACAGTAACAAGTCGATTCCTTTTTCGTGACCCAAGAGGGACTTTAGACCTAATACTACCACTTCTCGTGCGCCCTGAGACGTCAAGCTTGTTACTTCGTTTACTCTCGCGATGAAATTGTTGAATCAAACAAAACCCTTCCTGTACACTGCTTGTGGACACCATAAAATCCATAGAGATATATAACAACAAAATCTTCCCTACAGAAACGATAGCAAATTTCGGAACGTAGACTAACTAAACTTAATCCTCTCTAAGCAAATGGTTTCTAAGACATCGAATCAGAGATTTTTGAGTCAGTGAGAGGAAGGAGAAGAAGAAGAACAGAGGAGGCGGGTTGAAGCAGCAGTGAGTGAAAGGATATGGCACCAGTTTTGTTTTTTTTGGAGTTTTGTGAAATTTGGGCCTTTATTACAAGTTTGCTCATAAATTGGGCCCAAATACTCAACGCGCGTATCCGTGATTGATAAATAAAAATGTTTAGAAGAGACGTAATAAGAAGTGAAAACTTTGAAACACCACTAACAAGTAACAACAACCGAACTGTTTTGACGACAAAGTCAAGATATTATTCTCCCACTACACCCTCTGCTTTTATCTCCCGTCCAAGGCAACATAAGTTCTCCTAATCGAATCTATATATATTTATACGTATAGAATAAATATGTACATTTACTTTGACTCTTTGAGGTTAACATCATTACTCAAAAGACATTTCATCAATGTCGTCTGTTAAACTGCAGCTGCAAGATAAGGGCAATCATGTTGGTTTACATTTAACTCTCTTCTCATTGTCTTCTCTATGCTCATTTAGCTGCAGATACTAAAGAAAGACTCGAAACGTTTTGTATTGCTGGTGAATGATTTGTTCCAGGTGGTGATGGATAATGGCATTGCACGGGTTACATTATCAAAGCCTGATGGAATTGTTACTGGAATCGAGTATAATGGCATTGATAACTTGCTTGAGGTTCTTAATGAAGAAGTCAACAGAGGGTAATGAAATATATATACATGTTCCTAAGTGTTTTAATTCCTTCTTCAAAATTGGAGTTTATATGCATGCATTGTCTTTGTTTTACTGTCTTATAACCTTATCTATATTATTCGATAGCGTGCAAAGTCAGTTTCTTGCGTTTAACCGTGGCAAGAGTCAGCCTAAATTAGTAAATGGCTGCTCTTAGAACCAATGAGTAGAGACTAAAGATTCTCTTAAGAACCTACACAAACCTAAACAGAGTCCAGTTATTGCATACAATACATCTCTCTGTTTCTCTGGTTAAATTTCACAAGTTTGGGGCCAAAGGTTTTCATTTGGATATAAAAGTAGAAGTATTCTTCAGGTATTGGGATCTCGTTTGGGGAGGATCAGGAACCGCTGGTGGATTTGATGTGTAAGTCTTCTATGTAAGCTTTAACACCAAAATAAGATTAATCACAAAATTGTAAAACAACTAATGCATAATTACTACTTTCTTTTGGGACCAGAATTAAAGGAACAAACTTTGAGGTAATAATGAAGAACGAAGAGCAAATTGAGCTTTCTTTCACAAGAAAATGGGATCCATCACTAGAAGGCAAAGCGGTCCCTCTGAACATTGACAAAAGGTACTTAAGAGACATATATTTCATGTTTTCAGAGTTGTGACCTGAATAATTTAACTGTCGGATATAGATTTGTTATGCTTCGTGGGTCATCAGGATTCTACACTTATGCCATCTACGAGCATTTAAAAGAATGGCCTGCTTTCTCACTTGCTGAAACCCGAATTGCCTTCAAGCTTAGAAAAGACAAGTAAGCAAAAACAAAACTCACTCCTTCACTTTCTAAACGTTTTTCTATACTATATATATTCTTGTATTCACTTTAACTGAGGTGGTTCCAGGTTTCACTACATGGCAGTAACGGACGATAGACAGAGATTCATGCCATTGCCTGATGACCGGTTACCTGACAGAGGCCAAGCTCTGGCTTACCCTGAAGCGGTTCTACTTGTTAATCCTGTAGAGCCTCAATTCAAAGGAGAGGTAAATGTTAATTCGTTTTGCTTTCCTTTTCAAGATTACTAAGGAGAGTTGTTAGGCTTTGATTTTACCGGTTGTTCTTCTGGTTTTAGGTTGATGATAAGTACCAATATTCATGTGAGAACAAAGACATTACTGTCCATGGATGGATATGCACAGAGCAGCCATCGGTTGGTTTCTGGCTCATAACTCCTAGCCATGAGTACCGAACTGGTGGACCACAAAAACAGAACTTGACATCTCACGTTGGACCTACTTCTCTTGCTGTAAGACCATACTGTAGATAATATACAAATGTTCTCCTGAATCTTTAGGTATATTATCTTGTTTAACAAGTTTAACACCGGATCTTTAGGTATTTATGAGTGCACATTACTCAGGGGAAGATCTAGTGCCAAAGTTTACTGAAGGAGAAGCATGGAAGAAGGTGTTTGGACCTGTATTCGTCTATTTAAACTCGTCCACTGATGATGAGAATGACCCTCTTTGGCTCTGGCAAGATGCTAAATCTCAGGTTCCTCTTTTTATCTTTGTTTTACATAGTTTAGCAGAACAAATTAGACATTATTATATATTCATTACCAAATTTGATCTTTTTTCTTTATCAGATGAACGTGGAAACTGAAAGCTGGCCTTACAGTTTTCCAGCTTCAGATGATTATGTGAAAGCAGAGCAACGTGGTAATGTGGTTGGCAGACTTCTCGTCCAAGACAGGTTAACTACTAATTTAGAGAGCCTTGTCGATTACCGCAAATATACATTTTGTGGTTGTTAACACTATTCATCCAAATTTCACATGAAGATTGCATATCCAATAATCTGAAAACTATACATCAATTTATGTTTGTAAGGTATGTAGATACAGATTTCATTGCAGCCAATAGAGGTTATGTTGGCTTGGCTGTGCCTGGAGCTGCTGGTTCATGGCAAAGAGAATGCAAGGTGATTTTGAAAAGCACAAAACAGAAAATCCAATAAAGTAGAAATGTGAAATGTTTTTGATTCTAAATCACTTAACATTTCTGTAACTTGATTCTTGCAGGAGTATCAATTTTGGACAAGAACAGATGAAGAAGGATTCTTTTACATAAGTGGAATACGGCCAGGACAATACAATCTCTATGCATGGGTTCCTGGTTTTATTGGCGACTATAAATACGATGATATTATCACCATCACCTCAGGTCCTTTACTTCTTTTCTTGCTCCCAATACATTTTTCTTCTTGTTGTTACAATTAAACCCAATATAATATAACACTCTAGTTATGTGCAGGTTGTTATATATATATGGAAGATCTTGTATACCAGCCTCGAAGAAATGGAGAAACATTATGGGAGATTGGTTTTCCTGATCGATCCGCCGCAGAGTTTTATGTTCCCGATCCGAATCCAAAATATATCAACAACCTTTATAAAAATCACCCTGACAGGTTTTGAGATATATACATACAGATACAAATCTTATTACATTTTTCAAGATCATTAAGATATATAGAGATCAAGTGTCTTCAATAAATTAACTACACTATAGACAAAAGTAAGAGAACATACAAGGAGAGATTTAAATCATTTGATACAGAAAACATTAGTATATATATATATTCACTGAATGAACTAAATTGAGATTCTTTTTTGTTAACCAAAACGCAATTTATAAGAGATTTCTGATTTTATAATCTCTTGCAGGTTCCGACAGTATGGATTATGGGAAAGATACGCCGAACTATATCCGGATAAAGACTTGGTATATGTAGTTGGCTCTAGCGACTATAGAAAAGACTGGTTTTACGCTCAAGTTACTAGGTTCTTTCTCATCATCCCTCCGGCCTAATCATTTCTTTTTCTTGAATTTACGCTTTTCTCTAACCAGCTTGTTACATTTTCGTTTCTTAGAAGGAAAGATAGCAAAACATATCAAGGAACAACCTGGCAAATCAAATTCGAACTCGAAAACATTGATAAGAGTCAGTCCTATACTTTACGAGTAGCCATCGCATCCGCTACTTTTTCGGAACTCCAGGTAGGTGTATATTCATTATCAATCGATTCCTGTCCTGTTTGTACATTTGAACATCAACAAAAAGAATCTGACGAAATGAAATGAATCTTGACTCGAAACTTGGGGTTGAAGATACGTGTGAACGATGCAACTGCGAGCCCATTGTTCACCAGCGGACTGATCGGGAGAGACAACTCGATAGCAAGACATGGTATACATGGACTGTACTGGTTGTTCAATGTGGAAGTGGCTGGCTCTAAGCTTGTAGAAGGCGAGAATACATTGTTTCTCACACAGCCAAGGTCCACAAGCCCTTTCCAAGGGATCATGTATGATTACATCCGATTCGAAGCTCCCAGCTAATCAAAAATTTGCTTGCACCATTCTATCAGGAAGTATAACCAAATTTGATTTTAAAGTTAAAGTTTGTTGCCTGATTCAATTCTTTGTTTACATATAATAATGCATATCAGAGGATATAGCGTTTCAATTTCAATAAACCTTGTATTATTATTACATACAGCAAACTCCAAGATATTGATGAACGAATTCGCAAAGAAAAACTAACACTTGACTGAAATATTCATGTTGATAAGAATCACTTCTATACTTACTTTACGAGTAGCCATCGAGTCCGCTACTATTTCCAAGCATAGGTGTATAATTATTTTTATAAATCCATGAATCTTTTTTGTAAAATTAGAGCTTCAAAGAATGATAATCTGACGAAATAAATTTACTGAAATTTTAATCTTGATGGCGATGAATTAGGTACGTGCATGCGAACGATGGCACTTGGTACAGTCTGTACCGTACAGACAGTTCAGTTTCAATTAGAAGATACATATTGAATTCCGATTAATACAAATTTCTTCTACTTGTAAATTAATTAAAAGTACATTAATAGATTTATCTTAGGAACAAATTATAGTGACATAAATGGTACGAGATATTTCCCGTATAGACTTTTTTGATTACTAAAAAAATGGCTTTGACTCTATTCTGTCATTTAATTTTGCAAATCTTATAGAAAGGGAAAAGATTAGGAGAAATTTCAGATTCCTACAAAATTTTGATGTAATACATTATAAATATAAGGCAACAGATTTTGACTTCCTAGTTTTAGTAATTTCTTAATTAGGATGATGCTAATCCTTTTGATCAAGTCTTTTTTTTTTGTACATCTATTGCTGAATTGTTTATTAGGCACTTTACTAAATAAATCATTTGTATATGGAAGGTTATCAAGAGGGTTTAATTGAGATCTGATAATTATGAGTTGACTGTTTTTGTGACCAAATTAAT